ATTTTTTCAGGCTTCTTCTTTCCAGTTGCTTAAATTGGAAAATTTACTGCGATGATCATACTTCACTTTCATCTACTACCGCGGTTCAAATATGAATTATTTCATATATACTTCACAACATGAAAACTATCTGAAAAAAAGCCCTCTCAGTTTATCCACGACCATTGCATGTCCTCTTTCTCTTTTGATCACCAGAATAATCAAGGTCAAGGTAAGTTTAGCCTGCGTTGCAACCGGACGTGTCACAAAATCCCCGGTTTAGACTGTCTGCAGGCCAAAGCCAAAGGGTAACGCTGATAGAATTTACCATAGCATACGTAGCAAGTGTCCTCACAGGAGTGGAGAGTTTTCCGCATTCTGGCTGTGGGAAAATTAAGGCGAGAGAGCATGGTGGGTTTGGGAAGAACAGCAACCTTGGATGGAAGAGTAATAGTGTTCTATTAACATTCCGTTGTTTTGAAGAGGAACTATTTTAGTGTGAGTCAATGACTAATGTAACGTTTAGCAGAAAACCATCAAAGATGTTAGCAGGATGTCTATTGTGCATCAACTTGACAAATTACGCTCCAGTCTGCTAATAGACTAGTCAATAGTCTGCTGGAAGATTAGAGAATAACCTGGTAGTAGATTAGTCTTTTCCTGTGGTATACAATATAACAGTATGAGTAGACTGTTGGCTCTTAGCCTGCGAGATAGTAACTGCAACTGAAAAGACTCACTAATGGTTATGGGGCAAACAGGGAGTCGGCAAGCAGAGTGAAGCAAGGCCGCACAGCACAAGTATCTCTCTGCTCGTCAGAGGTTTCCCAGAACTATGGAGTTTGTTCAGCTACATCCTGAGGGTCTGATGACAGACTACTTGCAAGATTTTTTGTACACACATTGGCGCCTTCCTCATGCCTTGCTCAGGAGTATACACAGCACACAGAAATGTAACCCAAAGAAACTGAAGTTATTCCTTTGTCTAATCCACCTTTATAAAATTACCAACTTAGAACCAAAAGCTCACAATGTGCACCAGAGAACAGAAATAACAATTTGTAGGTCACAGGTCTCAGCCAGTCCAGGCAATTCTGACCACTGGTTGACGCTTTTTGATAGTGGACAAACCTGTAAGTTCACCTCCTCAGTTGGTTTTTGAACATAGTCAAGTGGTCTACCTCCTGTCAGTTGGGATTTTGAACCTTGTAATGTTAAATTTGAAATATGTGTTTATTTTTGAATGTTTGGCTCCGTAAGCACTTGTGCTAAATCAGTTANTTTGTCTAATCCACCTTTATAAAATTACCAACTTAGAACCAAAAGCTCACAATGTGCACCAGAGAACAGAAACAACAATTTGGAGGTCACAGGTCTCAACCAGGTCAGGCAATTCTGACCACTGATTGATGCTTTTTGATGGTGGACAAACCTGTAAGTTCACTCCTCAGTTTGTTTTTGTACATAGTCAAGTGGTCTACTTCCTGTCAGTTGGGATTTTGAACCTTGTAATGTTAAATTTGAAATATGTGTTTATTTTTGACTGTTTGGCTCCGTAAGCACTTGTGCTAAATCAGTTATAGAGGTTAAAAGTGTCTAAGACACTAGGTAATTACATGAATCTGTTCTCTTTGGGATTCTTCCAGTCAGACCAGCTGTCTTCAACTTAACCACTCGATAGACCAATTTTGATATATTAAAATTCAGCAAAAACGTAGACCTGAGCACGAGGCTCTGGGGAATAAATCCCACAAACTCTGTAGTTATTCCCCAGAACCTCGTGCTGAGGTCTATTATATTTACAAACTGAATTTCAAAATATCCAAATTGGTCAATTCAAGGGAGAGACTTCAGTGTACATGTCACTGTTTATTATCATAAGTCGGCACTTGGTTGACTGCAATCTTTTCAAAACACCGTTTGCTTTCTAAGACACATCAAATGCATTCAATTGAACATTCAAGTCTTATTTCAGAGATGCATCAGATAACATCATGCGTCACAAACAAACCAAACTACAGGTCGAAAACTTCGCATCTGGTATAGCTGCTCGCACAAGCATGCCTTGAATGGGATAAAAAATTCTTCAGCTCTTTCTCTAAAGCAAAACAGCATTTACCTTATCTTGTCACAATTACGAGAGATATCACTAAGGNTATTAGTTTGCTCTTTTAATGTTGTAGTTGGTAAATGACTTGCCTGATCACTCGCCCATTAAGCAAGTGGAATGAAAAGTTACTTGTCCCAGATGACCAAATTAATGACACTTTTTTCGAGCCCTAAATCCCCCTGCAAAAACTTCACGGGTAGGATTACATTTTACAATACTTACTGCAAAGACACGATCAAAAGGCTGAGAGGAAGCAGTGGAAATCTTTGCCATGGATCTCAGTGAGTGCTTGGCTTGACATGGAGTTCCTTTGACTGCTAATTTGGACAGGACTGGGTGATAGTAACTGGTAGACGGAAAAAAGCGAAAACAAAAACATGCGTTTGAAAAAAAATGTAAATGCAAATTTAATGCCAAACACATTGAGCGCTTGCGCAATCACCCGAGCCAGAGGTTCATGATAAAGTGCTTGACAATAATCCGGATCGCATTGGAATTTGGAAATGTCGGTTTTTAAGGAGAGGGGAAAACCGGAGTACCCGGAGAAAAACCCCTCGGAGCAAGGAAGAGAACCAACAACAAACTCAACCCCACATATGACGTCGGGTCCGGGAATCGAACCCGGGACACATTGGTGGGAGGCGAGCGCTCTCACCACTGCGTCACCACGGGTTTCATTAAGGGCCAGGCACCTCATCTACACAACTTTTTCGACAGACGGTAGTTATAACCAGTGGCATGAGCAGAAATTCAGCTGTTCACAGTAGGTGCTTAAGTACCATATACTAAACTCACTTTGCTAACGATTTGTTTACTTTTTCAATGCCATCTCTAGTCAAGGCAAGCTCACCTCAGCTTCTTTCAAATGGTAAGCAAATGAGAAAATTTTACAATTTTCACAAAACTGATAAAAAATTTTAAGAGATTTTAGTTTCAGGCCGGGGTGAGAAATTCTCGCCCATATCAACTTTCTTTTCTCTCGTAAGTTCTCGCGCGTTTAGAGATGCGCCACACTCGCGTTTCAGGTGCGGGGATCCCAACCAATGCTTACCTAATTTTTAAAGATGCTACTTTTAGCCAAAGCCCAAATCTGCACACGTGTATTTATCTTGTGGAAGTCTATTGATTTCGACAGTGCTTGGGTAAGAGATTCTCGTCCATATCAACTCTCTTTTCTCTCGTAAGTTCTCGCGCGTTTAGAGATGCGCCACACTCGCGTTTTAGGAGCGGGTATCTTAACCAAATGCTTACTTAACTTTTTAAAGATGCTACTTTTAGCCAAAGCCCAAATCTACACACGTGTATTTCACTTGTGGAGGTCTGTCGCTTTGGACAATGCTTGGGTTAAAGATTCTCGCCCATTTATATCTTTTTTTCACTCGCGTATTTTCGCGCGTTTAGCAATGCGGCATACTCGCGTTTTTTGTTTGGGGATCCCAGCCTATGTTTACGGGTCTCTTTAAAACTGCTAGTTTTGGCCCTCCCCCAGATGAACACAAGTGTATTTCACTGGTGGAAGTCTATAGATTTGGACAGTGTTTGGGTTAGATATTCTTTCCCATGTCAATTTTCTTTTCTCCCGCGCGTTCACGCGCGTTAATCGAGCGGCACACTCGCGTTTTAGTTGGGATCCCAAACTTTGCTTACCTCGCCTTTTAAAGATGCTAGTTTTAGCCCTCTTCAAAATCTCCAACGTGTATTTCACTTGTGGAAGTATATCGATTTGAACAGCGCTTGGGTGAATATTTTTAACCATGTCAATCTACTTTTCCCTTGTCTTTTCTCGCGCATTTAGCTATGCGGCACACTCGAACTTTCGGCGTCCGGATCTTAAACTATGCTCACTGCGCTTTTTAAAGATGCTAGTTTTGGTCCTCTCTTAAATTTACACATGTGTATTTTTTACTTGTGGGAGTCTTTCGATTTGGACAGTGCTTGGGTAAGAGATTCTCGCCATATAAAATTTCTTTTCTCTCGTAAGTGCTCGCGCGTTTAGAGATGCACCACACTCGCGCTTTTGGTGTGAGGATCCAAAAGCATGCTTACGGGGCTCTTTACAAATGCTAGATTTAACCCTCCCCCAAATCTACACGCGTGTATTTCACGTGTGGAAGTCTGTCGCTTTGGACAATGCTTGGTATGGAAATTATCGCCCATTTATATTTTTTTTTCTCCCGTGTTTTTGCGCGTTTAGAGATGCGCCACACTCCCGATTTTGGTGTGGTGATCTCAAACTATGCTTACTGGTTTTTTAAAGATGCTAGATTTGGCGTTTTCTCAAATCTACACACGTGTATTTCTCTTGTGAAAGTCTGTCGCTTTGGACAATACCTGGGTTAAAGATTCTCGCCCATTTATATCTTTTTTTCACTGGCGTGTTTTCGCGCTTTGAGCGATGCGGCACACTCGCATTTTTGGTGTGGAAATCCCAAATTATGCTTAAGAGGCTCTTTAAAAATCCTAGTTTTGGCCCTCCATCAAATCTAAACAAACGTATTTCACTTGTGGAAGTCTATCGATTTGGACAGTGCTTAGGTTGGAGATTCTCGCCCATATTAACTGTCTTTTCTCTCGTAAATTCTCGCGCGTTTAGAGATGCGCCACATTCGGTTTTAGGTGCGGGCATGACAACCAGTTCTTACCTAACATTTTAAAGATGCAACTGTTAGCCCTCCCCCAAATCTAAACACGTGTATTTAACTTATGGAGGTCTATCGATTTGGACAGTGTTTGGGTTGGAGATTCTCGTCCATATCAACTTTCTTTTCTCTCGTAAGTTCTCGCGCGTTTAGAGATGCGCCACACTCGCGCTTTAGGTGCGGGGATCCCAACCAATACTTACCTAACGTTTTAAAGATGCTACTTTTAGCCCTATCCCAAATCTACACACGTGTACTTCACTTGTGGAAGTCTATCGATTTGGAGAGGGCTTGGGTGAGAGATTCTCGCCCATATCAACTTTCTTTTCTCTAGTAAGTTCTCGCGCGTTAGGAGATGCGCCACACTCGCGGTTTTGGTGTCGGGATCTCAAACTATGCTTACTGGACTTTTTAAAGGTGCTAGATTTGGCCCTTTCTCAAATCTACACACGAGTATTTCACTTGTGGTAGTCTGTCGCTTTAGACAATTCTTGGGTTGGAGATTCTCGGCCATTTATATTTTGTTTCCTCTCGCGTGTTTCCGCGCGTTTAGAGATGCGCCACACTCGCGATTTCGGTGTCGGCATCTCAAACTATGCTTACCTAACTTTTTAAAGATGCTACTTTTAGCTCTTCTCCAAATCTACACTCGTGTATTTAACTTGTGGAAGTCTATCGATTTGGACAGTGTTTGGGTTGGAGATTCTCGCGCATATCAACTTTCTTTGCTTTAGTAAGTTCTTGCGCATTTACAGATGCGCCACACTCGAGTTTTAGGTGCGGGGATCTTAACCAGTGCTTACCTAACTCTTTAAAGATGCTACTTTTAGCCCTCCCCCAAATCTACACACGTGTATTTCACTTGTGGAAGTCGATCGATTTGGAGAGTGCCTGTCAGCTTTCTTTTCTTTCGGAAGCTCTCGCGCGTTTAGAGATGCGCCACACTCGCGTTTTAGGTACGGGAATTCCACTTAATGCTTACCTTACTTTTTAGCGTGATTTTGACTAACTTTAGGTCGATTTCCAGGAACATGGGCGATATTTCCGAGTCCCAGGGACTTTAAACTAATTCGAGAAGACTTTGGTTTTCAGTGAAATGGACAGAGGAAAAACTTTTGAAGGCTTGGTTATGAACAGTCTGGCTGAAATATAGCCCCTTGGTGACTCAGAGAAAGTCTCCAAGACCGGGCTACGCGCAACGTGATTTTGATTAACTTTGGGTCGATTTCCATTAGCTTGGGCGATATTTCCGAGTCCCGGGTACTCTAAACTAATTCGAAAAGACTTTGGTTTTCAGTGAAATGGACAGAGGAAAAATTTTTGAAGGCTTGGTTATAAGCAGTCTGGCCGAAATATAGCCCCTCTTTAACTCACTTAGTGACTAGAAAGTCGCCGAGACTGGGCTACGCGCATCGTGATTTTGACCAACTTTAGGTCGATTTCCAGGAACTTTAGCGATATTTCTGAGTTTTATGGAGTCCAAACTAATTCGAAAAGACTTTGGTTTTCAGTGAAAGGGACAGAGGAAAAATTTTTGAAGGCTTGGTTTTGAGCAGTGTGGCCGAAATACAGCTCCTCTTTAACTCACTTAGTGACTAGGAAGTCACCGAGACCGCGCTACGCGCAGCGTGATTTTGACGAGCGTTAGTTTGATTTTTAAACACTTGGGCGATATTTCCGAGTCTTAGGTACTCTAAGGCCCGGTTCATACGTCGCATTTCTGCCGTGTCGAATTCAATTCAACGAATTAAATTCGACAGAAATTCGACGTCTGAATCGGCTGCCGCATTTCTGCCGCACGTTCGACTGGTCTTGTCGCATTATCCGACAGAAATGCGACACCGATTCAGACGTCGAATTTTTGCCCTGTCTAATCTAATGCATACATTATGTCAATGTATTGAGCATGCGTAAATGTGTTCCCGCCAAAGAAAAAGAAGAAACTTGGCCATTCTCGACCCAATGCAACCTGAACATATTGCAACACATACTGCTCCGTTGTCAGCCTTCTCCTCCTCGTTCCATTGGCGGACAATTTTTAGCAAAATTAAAGTCCTTCGTCGCTCAGTATTTTCGTCCGCCATATTGAATACTCTACGTTTAAAACATTTTCCGCTGGCAGACATACCCGACAGTATAAATTCTGAATTAAGTGAGACACAAGTGCGACGTATGAATCCACAGTTGCATTTCTGCCGCACTTAATTGAATTGAATTCGACACGGCAGAAATGCAACGTATGAACTGGGCCTAAACTAATTCAAGAAGACTTTGTGTTTCAGTGAAATGGACAGAGGAAAAATTCTTGAAGGTTTGGTTATGAGCAGTCTGGCCGAAATTTAGCCCCTATTTAACTCAGTTGGTGACTAGAAAGTCGCCGAGACTGGATTTTGACCAACTTCGGGACAATTTCCAGAAACTTGGGCGATATTTTCGTGTCCCAGGGACTCTAAACTAGTTCGAGAAGACTTTGGTTTTCAGTGAAATGGACAGAGGAAAAATTTTTGAAGGCTTGGTTATGAGCAGTGTGGCCGAAATATAGCTCCTCTTTAACTCACCTAGTGACTAGAAAGTGGCCGAGGCCGGATTTTAACCAACTTTGGGTCGATTTCAAAAAACTTGGGCGATATTTTTTTTTTTTTTCATTTTTTCAAGGTTGGCGCATTTTTTGAATTGTGCTGCATTTTTCCATGTGTGCCGCATTTTTTAAGTATACCGCATTTTTCCCAGTGTGCCGAACTTTTCCAAGTCTGGCTTATTTTTCCAAGTGTAGCGCATTTTTTTTAAGTGTGCCGCATTTTTCCAAGTGTTGCGCATTTTTCCAAGTGTGCCGCATTTTTTCAACTTTGCCGCATTTTTCCAAGTGTGGCGCACTTTTCCAAGTGAGCAGCATTTTTCCAAGTGTGCCGCATTTTTCCAGTGTCCCGTATTTTTTTAACTGTTCCTCATTTTCTAAATATACCGCATTTTTCCCAGTGTGCAGCATTTTTCCAAGTGTGCCGCATTTTGCCAAGTGTGGCGCATTTTTATGAAAGTGTGCCGCATTTTTCCAGTGTCACGTATTTTTTTAACTGTTCCGCATTTTCTAAATATACCGCATTTTTCGCAGTATGCAGCATTTTTCCAAGTGTGCCGCATTTTGCCAAGTGTGGCGCATTTTTTCAAGTGTGCCGCATTTTTCCAAGTTTCCCGCACTTTTCAAGTATACCGCATTTTTCCCAGTGTGCCGTATTTTACCAAATGTGCCGCATTTTTTTCAAGTGTGCCGCATTTTTCCAAGTGTACCGCAGTTTTCAAGTATACCGCATTTTTCCCAGTGTGCCGTATTTTCCCAAATGTGCCGCAGTTTTTTCAAGTGTGCCGCATTTTTCCAGTCGTGGCGCATTTTTCCAAGTGTGCTACATTTTTCCAATTGTGCCGCATTTTTTTCAAGTGTGGTGCATTTTTCCAAGAGTACCGCATTTTTCCAACGGAGGCGCATTTTTGAAATATACCGCATTTTTTCCAGTGTGCCGCATTTTTCCAAGTGTGCTGTATTTTTCCAAGTGCGCCGCATTTGTTTGAAGTGTGCCGCATTTTTTCAAGTGTGACGCATGTTTTTAAGTGTGGCGCGTTTTCCCAAGTGTGCTGCATTTTTTAAAGTGTGCTGCATTTTTCCAAGTGTGGCGCACTTTTCCCAGTGTCGCGTATTTTTTTAAGTGTGCCTCATTTTTCCAAGTTTTCGACATTTTTTAAGTATACCGCATGTTTTCAAGTGTGCCGCAATTTTCCAAGTGTGCCGCATTTTTTTCAAGTGTGCCGCATTTTTCCAAGTGTTGCGCATTTATTGAAGTGTGCCGCAGTTTTCCCAGTGTCCCGTATTTTTTTGAAGTGTGCCGCATTTTTTCAAATGTGCCGCATTTTTTAAGAATACCGCAGTTTTCCCAGTGTCCCGTATTTTTTTAAGTGTGCCGCAGTTTTTCAAATGTGCCGCATTTGTTAAGAATACCGCATTTTTCCCAGTGTCCCGTATTTTTTAAAATGTGCCGCATTTTTCCCAGTGTGCCGCATTTTTCCAGGTGTGGCGCATTTTTCCAGGTGTGCGCATTTTTCGCAGTGTCCCGTATTTTTTTATTGCCCCGGGTTTTTTCAAGTGTGCCGCATTTTTCAAGTATACCGCATTTTTCCCAGTGTACCGTATTTTTTCAAGTCTGCCGCATTTTTTTCAAATGTGCCTCATTTAACCAAGTGTGGTGCATTTTTTTGAGTGTTCCGCATTTTTTCTAGTGTCCCGTATTTTTTTAAGTGCGCCCCAATTTTCCAAGTTTGCTGCATTTTTTAGGTATAGCACATTTTTCCCAGTGCGCCGGATTTTTCCAAGTGTGGCGAATTTTTCCAAGTGTGGCGCATTTTCCTAAGTGTGCCGCATTTTTCCTAGCGTCCCGTATATTTTTAAGTGTGCCGAATTTTTCAAGTATACGGCATTTTTGCCAGTGTACCACATTTTTCTAAGTGTACTGCATTTTGCCAAGTGTGCCGCATTTTTTCAAGTGAGCCGCATTTTTTCAAGTGTGCTGCATTTTTCCCAGTGTGCCGCATTTTTCCAGGTGTGCCGCATTTTTCCAATTTGCAGCATTTTTCCCATGGTGCCGCATGTTTTGAAGTGTGCCGCATTTTGTTAACTGTGCCTCATTTTTTTTAGACTCTGACCCATTTTTTTCAAGTGCGCCTTATTTTTCCAAGTGTGCTGCATTTTTCCAAGTGTGAATAAATTTCGTGTAACTCGTAGATGGGCTGGCAAATTATCGTAAATTTCGCAGTTTTCTTAAATNGAAAAAAAATGCAAAAAACATGGGTTTGAAAAAAAAAAATGTAAATGCAAATTTAGTGCCAAACACAGGGAGTGCTTGTGCAATCACCTGAGCCAGAGGCTCATGATAAAGTGCTTGACAATAATCCGGATCGAATTGGAATTTGGAAATGTTGGCTTTTGAGGAGAGGGGAAAACCGAAGTACCCGGAGAAAAACCTCTCAAAGCAAGGAAGAGAACCAACAACAAACTCAACCCACATATAACACCAGGTCCAGGAGGCGAACCCGGGACACATTGGTGGGAGGCGAGCGCTCTCACCACTGCGCCACCACGGGTTTCATTAACAGCCGGGTACCTCACCAACACAACTTTTTCAACAGACGGTAGTCATAGCCAGTGGCATGAGCAGCAATTCAGCTGTTCATAGTAGGTGCTTAAATAACATTTACTAAACTCACTTTGCTAACGATTTGTTTACTTTTTCAATGCCATCGCCAGTCAAGGCAAGCATCTTTAGTGAGTGATCAACTAAAACAAAAATAATAATTGATATTAATAAACAACAACAAACATTAAAACTACAAAATTCTTCTGAAAAATAAGGAAACAGCAAAATAACCTAAAGTCACATTTGAAAAGCACAAGAGGCATCACTGTCTGATCAAATGTTACTACATTTTGAACTCACCTATTTCTTGATCCTTGTTTTTCAGAAAGACCAACAGTTGCTGAAAAGTGTCATCATTTTGAAATTGTGATGGAAACACACCAGCCAGACTCTAAGAAAGTTCAAGAGTGACTTCTTTTACATTCAGATTGAAATTATAACTCTCCTAACTGACAGCTACATTTAAGAAATAAAAAACATGCACCCTGTTTCTACTGAGTTAAAGAAATGTGGGAGAACCAGAAATGCTGTCGGAACATGAGCTGACATGTGAGTGTTTCCACAGCTTTTTTGAGTTCTCCCAAACTTCCATGAGTGTTTCTATAACTCCATAGAAACATAGAGTTATAGACACACAAAGAACAAGTTTTCTATTTCTTTAAGAAAATTCCTACTTTGATCATCAAAATGCAAATTCTCTTTCCTGGCACCATCATTGCATCAACAGCTCATGCTAGATCAGTGTCTCTATTGAGTTATAGAAACACGATTTTAAACCAATCAGGACACATATTTTCTTTATGCTATTTTCTAAACTTATTTTGAAATCCATTAATCTAGCACAAGGCTACTCACTGATGAATAACAGTTCATTAAATTGGATCTGGCTCTAGAATCCTTGATCCTATAAAATAAGGCCATTTGGCATGCATGCAGCAATGATTGGAAAGACAAAAAAAAATTGGATCTGGCTCTAAAATCTTTGATCCTATAAAATAAGGCCATTTGGCATGCATGCAGCAATGATTGGAAAGACAGACTCACCAACAGCAGTGCCAACCCTGTTTTTCCAACAGGACTTGAGCCAGAGCTTTCATGCCATTCATACTCATCATCCCCATCATCAGAAAGCCCCTCTACAGCATCCTTCACCAGCTTGAAGAGCTCTTTGATACATTGTTCATCTACAAGAAGAGGAGCAGCACGATCCAGCAGAGCTTTCAGTGTCTCAAGGACAGGGTTCTTTGATCCAACCTTTAATACAACATCACTCTGCCAAATAAAGATACCAGTGTCTAATATCAGGGCAAAACATAGTTCAAAAATAATAACCAAATACAGAACAGTGCAAAACGTTAATTCCCAACTCCCTCTATGAGACACGCCTACAGGGAATCATGGTAGTTGTCTTCATCATCTTGGACTGGATGTTTGTTATGATGAATACAACTACCATGATTCTCTGCATTGTACAAGCATGGAAGCATTGCAAGAAGCACTGTAGCCTAAAGGTTAAGGCAATGGACTCTGGATCAAGCAGTTCACATCTGAGCTATAGTTGAAGTCATTGCAATGTGTTCTTGGCCAAGACACTTTATTATCTCAGGACCTCTCTCCACCCAAGTCTAAAACTGGGCAACAAAGAATTTAATGGAGGGGGTACCCCTACAATGGACTAGCATCTTAACCAGGGGGAGTATAGATTCACTCCTAGTCCCTCAATGCTGTAGAAACCAGAAAGAGCTCTAGCAAGATGGGAGAGTTTGTGTCACGCAAGCTTCACCTTTGTTAATTTATAGGCAGGGATAAGAAACAGGACAAAAGGCTATGACAGCCTACAACTGCCTGCTTTGTATAGACTTCCTGTTGTGGGACAAAGATGTGTCCCACTCTTTGCTTCCCATAAAACAAGCCACACAATAAGTTGCATATTCAGATATAATGAATGAACATACCACTGCCTTGAAAACCTTTGAACATCCTACATCAGGGTTGATGCATATCTTCAGCAATTCTTTAAGTGTGGGCTCCTGAATCATCTGTCGCAGTTTCTTGAGGTTTTCTTGAAATTTAAAAGCATCTGGGAAAGCTCCTAAAAGAACAAATTTTAATTTTAAGTGGTTTCTGTTAGTAGTGGGGTTGTTAGTGGCACAATCCCACAAGAATGACTGAACAATAGAAAACAGTAGAATCATGGAGTAAGAGTTATGTTGAGATTACAGCTTACTTGCAAGGGAAATGATCTTTGACAACACTAGTGTCTCGTTGTCTTGTGCCTGAGGGAAGGAAAACATAATGAAAGATCAGACAAAAATACAGCTGTACTAATACTGATGAATCAAAACATGAAATCAATTACAATGTTTGTAAAGAGACTTGCCTCCTCTGCAGTTGACAACTCAATCAGATCTGCAAAGTCTGAGCGCACTCTAACAAAACAAAAGAAACATTAATAGACTAATAAGTTAGGTAAGCTCATCTTGGGCAGTTTGGTAAATTGGCAAATAATGATTATAGCTCATAACTCACCTTTGTTGGCAAGTCAGAATTCCATGGAAGGCACTTAAAAGAAAGCAAAAAAAAAAAAAACATCAATATTAATATGCTAATCTCTCATTGAACAATAATTACAAAAATGGCTGTAATTGTGCCTGTAACTTAAATATCTTGCTAAAAGGTGTGCAATAGAATGAAAAATAGAGACACGTTGGCTAATGCCTTGAGCAAAGCAAGACAAGTTATACGAAGGTTGCTGGAAAGAAGAAGGTACACCTAAGGAAGAAAGGAATGGAAAGCAACCCAGAAGGTGGGAAGACAGGCAGACAAGCAAGAAGGGAGAAAACAAGGAAAGAAAGAAACTAAGGAAGGGCTAAGCAAGGAGGGAAGAAAAGGAAGTAGGGATAGAGGGGGAAGGGAAGAAAAAAGAAGAAAGGGGAGAAAGAAGGGAAGAGAGAGGAGAGGGAGGGAGGGAGGGAAGAAGAGGGAGGCTAGGAGGAAGGGAAATAAGGGGGCAGGAAGAAGAGGAGGAACAGAGAAGGAAAGGATAAAAATGGGGGGGGGGGGGATGCGTCTATCATCACTTTACCTTACTGCTGCATCATCAAGTTTGCAGTAAATATGTAACAATCTTTTCATCTTCTGGTCAGCGTCTAAACTGACTGGTACCAAGCAACCAATCAAAATCCTTTCAACACAAAGCCTGAAAATGTCACACACCTCAAGTATTAATTTCCAATCAATTTGGTAAAAACAGATTTCTTTACTTAATACTTGGAAGAAACATGAGAATTTCAGAAAAGACCATGGTAGTGGTTGGTAAAAACAAATTTTCAATGAGTAATTCAAAGCTTTCAGACATTATTATGTATTCTGTAAGCATTTTTAAAAGTTAAGAGGGGTTCAGAGGAAGAAAAGGTAAGTGTAGCGAGGAGTGTTTATGACTGAATTGCTTCACAATAGACAAGGTTAAGTCAAGTTCAGCATGCAAACAACTTATACATATGTTCTTTAAAACTAACAAAGCAAAACGACATCCAACTGAATTAACATTTGATAAGAGACAGTCCCTGATTATGCTGATAAAGAACATAGCGTAGCACAAAAATTACACAAAAATTGCAAACACAGTCTTAGAAAATTTCACAGAGTGCAAAGAAAATCAGCTTTCCAGCTAGGTGTAATTGGATTATCTGACAGGACTTTTTGCACACACTTTTTCATGTTAGACATCCTGATATACTGATGCAGCCATACTCATGCCTCATGCTGTTATACTGTGGAGGATATAACAGGCTAGATAAAGCTCCTTGTTTCTTTCTCTGCCCTTTTTTTTTTTGTGTTAGACATCCTGATATCCTGATGCTGTCATACTCATGCCTCATGCTGTTATACTGTGGAGGATATAACTGGCTAGATAAAGCTCCAAGTTTAAATGTAAAGGATAACATAAGGGAGATACATAACCTACATATGTCACTCTACAGTTCAGTTCAATCTTCCTCATGCCCTTAGTCACATAAGGCCATTATCACTTCATATGTGGCATTTAAACATAAGGATAAACAGAAAACCCATTTACCTGTTTTCTGGCGTGTTAAAGTAATAACAGTGAAGAAGCTTGCTTGGAACCCAGGATAGTTTCTTAGCTGCTGCTTTGTTGGCTGTAGCACTGCAAAGAGTAAAAGAGAAGTCAATGAAGTTTTAAAACCTATTCTCGATTATTAAAAGATGTTTAATTATAACACAGCAAATAAACGTTAGCTGTCTGGGAAGTGAATAAGGCTCTGCCAACAGGTTGCAAAAGGCACAGCACATTAATGGTTTGTAAGTTGGACTTCACTTAAGAAGTCAAAAATCACATCGATTTACTTGTCTTTCTATTCTAGTGATTTACAAGGACAATAAGATCTTGTGTAATTATTTCCAGCTCTCTTCTACGAACATTATGCATAGAAAGTCTTCAGAATACCGACCCTGTTGTGACCTTCTTGAACAGTTTCCCAAGACACATCATTGCTTCTCTCCTGACATGCCACTATTCATAAATAAAAAATATATATTATTATACATGTAAAAACAGCAAGAGAAGACATGTCGAAACCATACATTGATTTTACACAGAACTGAGTTGATCAAAGCACATCATGTCAACAAAATCCTTGTGATTTAAAAAGCATACCTTCTTATCTCTCATTCTTTCACATACATCATCAAGAAGCTGACAGAGAAGCAAAAAAGATAAGTATCTTTCTCTTACATCCACAAAACGATTGTAGGAATATGCCTCCTTCTAACCTATATAAAGGTATGTGATGTAACTTATAGGCCAAGCCTGTTAAGAAAACTTGACAATAAATCACAAGACACTTTGGCATCAAAGACATGTTCAAATTGCAGAAGTCTATACAGTAGAATAAGGCCCCCTAAAAAGACCAATTACAACACGCATAGTAACTAGGAGGTGTATCAAAAACAACAACTTTCTGTTACATGATAACAAATCTTAATTCATCACTTTAAACCAATCAATGATTTATTAATTCAGTTTGGCCCAAGTTTTAAAGTTTTGTCGTGAACATTTTGTTAAATTCAACTGCACAAGTTGGTAGCAAGTTCTAATACCTGATCAGAAATAGAACTGATATGTTCTGATGCTGCTTCACAGATGGTCGAAACCACTTCTTGTCGCACTCTCTCATCTGGGTCACGCTGTCTCTCGTGTAGTTTATCTCAAAACAAACAAAAAGCCTTCAATTTTAATTGACATAGCTTAAAAGCCTTTAAGCAACAATCAACCAAGTGTGGGGGTGTGAAACCATGGTTAAGTGGTACTTTCGGTCTAGGGTCACGACACTGGGTGTTGGCTCTTGTCCGCCACAGTATGCACAAACTAGGGTTTCTGTACTTTTTCAAAACTTTTATCAGGGAACTACTTGCAGCATTCAACTTAGTGTACACACTGAGTTTGGCGTCCTGAAACCATGGTTAAGTGGTACATCCAGTCTGGTGCCGCGACACTGGGCCTCGCCTCCCCTAATGTGCCCAAACTTGGCTTTTTGTACTTTTTCAAAACTTTTGGTAGGAAATTATTGGCAGCATTCAACTTAGTGTACACACCAAGTTTGGCGCTCTAGAACCATGGTTAAGTGCTACCTTCAGTCTAGGGCTGCGACACTGGGCATGGGCTCCCCTAATATGCCCAAACTTGGCTTTTTGTACTTTTTCAAAACTTTTGGTAGGAAATTATTGGCAGCATTCAACTTAGTGTACACACCAAGTTTGACCCTCTAGAACCATGGTTAAGTGCTACCTTCAGTCTAGGGCTGCGACACTGGGCATGGGCTCCCCTAATATGCCCAAACTTGGCTTTTTGTACTTTTTCAAAACTTTTAGTAGGAAACTATTGGCAGTGTTCAACTTAGTGTACACACCAAGTTTGGCGCTCTAGAACCATGGTTAACTGGTACATGTACCTTCAGTCTAGGGCCGCGACACTGGGCATGGGCTCCCCTAATATGCCCAAACTTGGCTTTTTGTACTTTTTCAAAACTTTTGGTAGGAAACTATTGGCAGTGTTCAACGTGTCTCTCATATAGTTTATCTCAAAACAAACAAAAAGCCTTCAATGTCAATTCACATAGCTTAAAAGCCTTTAAACAGCAATCTGTGGTCAAATAGCTTACCAGGGCAATGCTTATCTCAGTTTCAAAAGCATATGGCAGCCAGGAGTACTTCTATTCCTCCTGCATTCAATGCTAGTCCAGCACAGGGTTGTGTCTTGCATTACATTTGCAGTACCCATTTATACAGGGTCTGTATGGGTGTGTAACCCTCTAACACTCTACAACTCACCCGTTAAATCAGCTACCAGGTCAGGGTGATATTGTAGAAACTCCTTGGCTCTCCTGATGCATTCTATACGGACATCAACACTAACATCCACAAATCTGAAAAAAAAAAAATTCACTGGTGAATATTCAAACCATGCATAATTATTTAAAACAACTAATCCAGATTGTCACAAAGTTTTGTAGTAGGCAACTTGATAGGTGTAGAGTACAGTGTAGGTGACTATCGGTAATTATAATTATTTTTACATCTTTTCCTGAAGAATCAGATAAATAGCTCTGCAGAATACATCAGCAGATCATAAAGTAGCAGGACTTGACACTAACTTTTTACACCACTTTCCACATTGGAAAGTAGATTTCAAATTTTATTTTCCATCTCAAAATTTTACTTTCCAAAATGGAGGCTCAACATGATCACTATGCCATGCTGTCTGAGAAAACCCAAGTTGAAATAGATCCATTTCTTCTTGGGATCCTTCACAATATGTATCTGTCAGCATCCTAATTGGTGGATTTGATTGAACCATACCACATGTATTTATCGTACCCAGACCAACTTGACAGCTCTCTCAATACTCCAGTATGGCAGATCGGTACATGTAAGTGCTAGAATGGTGTAAAAACTCCTCCTTTTGAAGACAGAAAGTCATTGTCGGATGGTTACAGACATATTTTTCACTGAAGCCTTTTTAGCATAAAAGTTACTTTCCAGCATAGCCCAAAATTTACTTCCCACATTGGGCAAGTATTTTGTTTCAATTTCACTTTTTTTACTTTCCAAGAAGTAAGTTTACTTTCTGATAAAACTGGGTAGGCTTTAGTGTCAAGCCCTGAGTAGATGGTGATTTTCTCTAGTAGGTGGCTGATATTCATTTCTCTTGGTCAAAATGATTGCAATTAACTTTGCCTCCCTTCAAGTTCCTGTTGGGCCCCTATTTATCGTGCAAGAGGACCCTGAGACCCTTCAAAGAAAATTCCCAGTAAGGACATTGCCTCAAAGTCTGTCTTGAAATTACTCTGCTACAGGTAATATTTTCAACTCTCTTCCCAGTATTTGGACAAGTAGTATTTAACAAACATAGTATTTGATTTGTTACTTGTGATGAGCTTCTTTTGACCTGAACAATCTCAAAGAGACACAGTCGAGGGTGAATATCTTATTTTCGTGTTTACGTATACTTGAAACACAACATTCTTTTACCTTCCTAAGTATGAGTTCCACAGAGGTTTATTCTGAGTTGCTAATTCAGAGTCCTTCTCAGAAAACATCTGGCCCAGTAATTTGGTAACTGCCAGACGCTCATCCACTTCTACACTCTGCAAACAGATTTTGTAAAAAGAAACATCCCTGGTTGATTATTTTTTCATTCTTGTTAACTGCTTTCTTAACAATATGTTGATGTTGCATGAAGAAATTGTACATTACTAACAGTAAAAAAAAGGTAAAGTCTGCATACAAGCCAAGTGAAACATCAGGCCAGTGTTTATCCCCCGGTTTCTGTAGTATAAAGCAACTACAATCCTGGTCACAAGTGTTGGGACAGTTTATGACAGATGAGTTCACAGACAGCCTCTACTAAGACCAAGACCGCATAAGCCCGCCTACCCCCCTCCCCCCTGTTAATGTTGATAAAAATCTTGAAAACAAAAAAAAACCCTTGATAATAGCTTCAGAATAGCTACGTTTCAAGAATTGTTTGCCTCATAGAACAGTCTTCTCCAACTAAGGTGATGATAACATAGATATTCACATCTTATTCCAATAATAACAATTTTTCAGCAGTCATGTTCGCTTTCAACGCAACTGTCTAACCACTTTCTATTGTCCCTTTTTTCTTTTTTAACACCATCTGATCTACTCTTCAGAATAGCTTCATTTTCTTTCAACATTGCTCCGGCGGAGGGGGGGTCTTTTGTACTTGCAAATGTGCTAAACATAAGGCCATAGCACCTCCACACATACATTTCATTCAGGGTAACAATATTGATAATATGAAATCATGTGTTATCCATTTATACAGCTAGGTGACGTGGAGAGAGGCACTGAGAGAGTAAAGCAACTTGCCCAAGAACACAAAGCGGTGAAACCTGCCAGGACTTGAACCTGGACTGCTTGATGCAGAGTCCAGTGAGCTAACCATTTGACCACCATGCCCCCACGATAATATAATAATAAAATATAAGGTGAGGTGAGGTAAGGTGAGGTAAGGTGAGGTAACGTGAGGTAACGTGAGGTAACGTGAGGTAACAGAACAGAACATAATACAATATAATATAATAATATAATATTAATAATCACCTTTAATTTAAACTCCAGCTGTGGCACAACTGACAGAAGTGTACTTGGACAAATTCTGTTTAACTCCAGTATAAGGTCATAAATATTGTCAGCTAGAATACTGTCTGAAGTCTTTCCCAGTGCAATACAACTGTTGAAAAACTATGAGAAACAGAACACATATTTTTACATAACCCTTCAGTATTTAATTGTTTAGACATAATATATTATTTATTTTGGCAATTTAAGTAAGTTCTGTTCCTCTGCAGTTTATAATAAAGCAACTAAAAATTTCAGCTCTTGAGACAAACTATAGATTAAATATTACCAAGGATATAGAATGAAGTGCATCTTACCATTTGTAAGTAAGGTTCTATAGATGATGAAGTCCTCTTAATGAATTCACTTGCTAGTTTATAAGCCACAGGATCTTCACTCTGAATGAAATAAGTTGTTACACTGTAATATAAGAGTCGACAAGCAATGGCCAAAAAACAGTACTGGTACAAGGTAAGCATATCTTAACTAAGTTGGCTTCACACTCAATACCTAGCTGGACATGCTGCACTTAATATAACCTCGGATAATCTAGGAAATATGTAAGAGACCTTTGCAACTGTAGCTAAAAGAGCAATTTATAACAATTTTTAATGAAAACAATGAGTTGTGCATAACAATCCTATACTGAAACTCATCTTGACTTTGAAACTTTACTTGGATTGTTATAAAAACCATGAATCAAAGGAAGGAAATGATCAGTGGAGTTACCTTCTGTGGCTCAATGATGTTGACAAGCACTGTGTCAAGAAGTTCTTGAGGTACAGATTCCCCTTCATGAATGATTGGACACATTATGTCCAACATGAAGTTTACAATCTTGTTAGAATGATTTTCACTGAAAGGTAAGTTTAAATATACCTGCATAAAAAAATCGCTCCTTTTGCAGTGAAAGTGACACGGTTTGGTTTTTCATTGGTGGTTATATAATAAATAGAACATTACACGAATGCATGGCAGTATCCCTTGCATACGAGAATAGATATTTGTGTTCAACTGTACCAATCATTGAATTACGTTAAAAGCAGGAACTTGAAAAAGCACAGAAGCACTTGTTCAAGTTTTAGAATTTGTGATGTGGCACTTATTCAAGGATTACATTTTTTCAAGGGAGGTGTCCATTTTAAAAATCCTTGTCAAAAATCACATAATAATAATAATGATAATGATAATGATGATGATGATAATGATGATGATGATGATGATGATAATGATAATAATGATAATAATAACTATAGCCTTTTTCCTACAAATATCCCACTTGCAATGTAATGTTCTTTGTATATACACTTTTCTAAGGGACGAATAATGTCAGCCGTGGGATATTTTATAGTAGACCATTTTCTCCAAAAAAAAAAAAATTAAAGTGACTGAAAGAACATCTTATAAGGTGATAGCGACTATATTTTATGCAGAAAATCCCACTTACTTCACAACTTGGAAGAACATTTTAAATAACTGCAGTATAATGTCTTGGAAGTCCATGTCCAGGCAAATATTGAACGACTTAACTAATGCTAAACTCTAAAAACAAATAAAGCGAGGGTTAATCAAATGTAACATCTCCTCCTTACTATTGTAAATGCAAGAAATCAAACCAATGTTTTTATGATCAAGACAACATACCTCTAAAAGATAGAAGTACTTTGTGGATAGGTTTGACTTCGTATTTTCAAGCCCCTTCAACTGATTTACCATCATTGAAAACACTGACTGAAAAAATCCAATAATTTCAACATTTCAGTGTTTAGCTTTCAACAAACAGACTTACATGTAAATACGTAGAATCTGCCAGGACTAAAAGTTGAGCTCCCTCTTACAATAAGTTAACCTGGCTTGAGCCTGCAATCCAATCAAAAACCAGTGGCAGTACCTGGGCAGCAGTCAACTTCAAAATAGCATGCGCCCGCAATGAGCTCTAAACCTGAGCCTGCAATATGGTCATGTGATGCTGGTCAGCAGATACCTCGTTTTGACAGGTGTCAACTGACTATAACATGGATGTCCAATATCAAAGATAGATGTACGCTGTGAACCAAGGCTACATGCCTTGGTTAACCTATTGGCTGTAGTATGGTGCTGTCAAGTAAAAGAAAAATAAATTGCAGAGACCTACACAATGATGGCTCAAGTCTACTACGATTATCAGTTGAGAAAGACCCGATGGAAATTTGGTGACAAAGTTTTGGATTTAAAATTAGTGTTGCCACAGGCAACTTTCCTCCTTTCCAGTGGTAACACTATCGTTGCCTGCAATTTTGCCTCCTTTGCTGCAAATGAGATCAAAGGCTGACAAGTTGCCACTGGAAACGGAACCAGTTGCCTGTGACAACAACACAAGTTGAATGTTAAAACCTGGTCACCAAACTTTCGTCAAGCCTTATTCAACTGATAAACTTAGTATCACCTCTTGAGAAGCTAACAAAGTTAAAGAACAAGGAAAAAAGAACAGTATAATTACCTTCAACTGTTCTTCACCGTAAGGAGCTTCTGGAGCAAAAATCCTAAGAATGTCAGCAAGACAACATGCAGCGTACGCTTTGACATCTTTGTCTCTGTGTTTCAGTATGAATGGACTAACAAGAGACTGTGCGACTACTCCATACTTTGTCGCTCCATCTGTTTGGTCACAATTGGATAGTTCATAAGCTAGGTTCTATCAAATGATAATAAGTATATAAGAAATGTGAATGTAGAATAATTTTCTACTAATGGTATTATAAAGGTAGCCCTTTGTAAAACACTGGGATAACTACCAAGTGAAAAGGTGCGGGATGCTTGTTTTCTCAATTAGGGGTGTAAATCACTAATTTTGGTCACGAAGAAATGCCACTATTTTTAGCCATCGATGTACATCTTTTAGGGTTGCAATTGAAGAAATGATAACAAAATGCTGTCTTTACATTTTAAAGTCGTATCTGTTACGGGTCAAATGAAGTTAAAAATGCACCCAGATTTAGTGGTTTAATCCAAATTTCCCAACATTTTCACATGGGAGTACCCCCAGCCATCATTCTGTTGTGGCCATGCATTTGCAGCTAGTATTAAAGTGGAAAATGATTTACGTTCATTTGCGCAGAGCAAATTAGAACGTAAGGGCAATATTCAACCATATCAGCCAAACAAGCTTGATTAATAAAGGATTTACTAGATGGCATAAAGGACACCATTTTTGTGGGAAGCAAGTGGAGGCAATGCAGCCCAATCTTGCCAAGTGTCAAATTTTTTTGCAAGTATGACTGAAGAACTGAACTCTGGACTACAGAGAGCAGCACAATTTTTGAACCACTCAGTAGCGTAATGTTGCTTCTGAACCGACCCTACATAGATCTGTGTTGCATAATTTTCCTAATTACCATGAGGTTTTAATTACAAGAAAATCAAAATCACACCTACAAGCTTAAAGGCTTATGCACAGTACCGGTTTACATAACTGAATGTAAGCTTATGTTTTCAAACATACTGTAATGACTGTACGAAGTTGGACCGAATTTCTACCCCTTGACAGACAAGATATTATTAAGATGTGTTGATAGATTATTACTATTTGAACGAGTAACTGCGACATTTAAATGATGGAAAGCCATTGCTAAATATAAATGCAGATATATATATATCATAGAAGCTTATGTAGAGTAAACAAATACAGAGATGAATATAAATAAATATATAGCAGTACTCTAACTGCAAAATCCGACATAAATAAAAGAACTGGAGTCCGGCAGTATAAATTATCCATTCAGGTGTTTTCAATTCGATATTTCGGTTGATTTTAACGAACAGTTCCTGTGCTTATCGAGTACATAAACGCTTAAATAACCAAAATTGCCTCTGAAGCCAGTTAACGTAAGAAAACAAGATTGAAACCCCATCCCATTTCAAAACAGATTCAACTAAATGTCGACATAGAAGTACTTCCCA